AACCCAAAACCCTAAACCCTAACAGCGACAGGGGAAAGCAGATGTCCTGGGACTCGGTCTTCAATCTCTGCGGCGTGATGATGTTCGCGACTCTCGGACTCAGCGACGCCTAGGACTAGGTAGTGTTAGGGAGACCCCTTATATAAAAGGGGACCCTTCTGAACCCTACTTTTGTGGCTCTCTTAAATTAAAAGGGACCTTATTGAGAGGGTCTATATCCCAAGGGTCCCCCTAATCCTACCTCCCACCTATACACCCTAAACCCTAAACCCTGAACCCTAAACCCTAAACCCTAATCCTAATTCTTAGCCACAAAAAGAACTAATATGGAGCCTATGGGTAGGGTTTAGGGTTGAGGGTTTGGGAGTTAGGGATGTAAGGTTACGGTTCAGGGCTTAGGGATTCGGGATGTTACAGATGTCAAGGGTCTACCCAGACCTTCCCAAATTCCTTAATTAAGGAAGATACTTTAAACTACATGAGGGATCCTACTATATTTTAGGGTATCCTCCTTAATTGAGGGAGTTCGGAAGGTCTGTGTAGTTTCAGGGAATCGGACGAGACGTTTTGCACCAACTGAAGCTCCAAGCCCAAAAGACCAGCATGGCTCATCGAGACCGAGCCTGTTTGGGAGCCTTCCATGCTGGTTCGAAAGCCTAGACCATAGTCCCCAGACCCTAAACCCTAGTCCCCTTGTATATATATATATGTTATAACCTATCATTTGTGCATATATATATATTACAATAATAATAACAATACTAACAATAACAACAACAATAAGTACAACAACAACAACAACAATAAGAATAATCCTAATAACAATAATAGTAATCCTTCCGAAGATGCCCCAGATGCCCGAACATACCTTCAAATGCTGCGCCGGAGCCCTGAATTTCAGCTGAACCCGAAGCCCCTTGCTGCAGCCGTTGGTGGAGCAATTGCGACCTTCATGCTCAACACACAACCCCTGAAGCCTAAACCCTAAATCCTAAATTCATAAGGAGTTCAAAAAAGGAAACGCCCTAAACTTAGGTCTTCTTGGAATGCAGCTTTTGTTTCGGGATGCGAGGCTTCAGCACCGAGACTTCGGAATGAGAAGTTCAGGCTTCGGGGGTCTGAACTTCTGTTTCAAGGGATGGCATCCCCCTGCCTTTTCAGCCCAAAACCCTAAAGCCCTAAAGCCCTAAACCCACCAATCCTCCAACAAACAAAAACATAGCAACATCCCCGCAACAGGAAGACCCCACAGCCTTAAATCCCTAAAAACGGTTTAGAGCTTGAGAATTTTCGGTACTTTTGGGCTGTCTAGGTTCTTCATCACGGTGACGCTGGCGGCCCTCACTCCCTTCCAGTGTTTGCCAAATCCCAACAACCAGCACCTCGGCGAAAAACGGCCTAAACCCTAAACCTTAAACCCTAAATCCTAAACCCCTAACCCCTAAACCCCTAAACCCCTAAGCCCTAAATCCTAAGCCTTTAAACCCCAAACCCGGATTCAGGGTTCAGAGACTCTAGGGTTTTGAAGGTTTAGTGAATGCCTTGGGCCTTGGAGGGTGCTTTTTCTTAGAAGCTGAACGAGCACGCATTAAGCTTTTTGGGATGATATGACTCCTTATGAAACTGAAAATGTACACTTTTTTGGTTAATGAACTCAGCAACTAATTTCTAGCTGATTTTGCTGCAAGACGATGTGCAGTAATCTTGGGTCATGTCGGAGCATCTCTAAAGCAGAAAGCGATGAAGTTTTCAACATCATGTTCCCGATGCCTTCAGGGAATAGGGAAGCCCCATTGATCAGTGATCCATGTTCCAACTTTCTGCCGCATGTTCAGGGTTCAGTTCAAGGTACCGTCGACACATATCCAAGGGGTTTAATTGGGCTTCCTTAAAGGGATCTATGATCGGTAAGGGCTCTATAAAGGGGATCTATCAGGGGCTGTAGGGTTTAGAATCAGAAGCTACCGAAACTCGTTTGCTTGATGCCCCCTACACACTTCGTTGCTTGAGTCCCGTAGACACTTCTTGCAGTTTGGAGTGGAGCCTTTCTGCTTACTCGACCCTGTGTGTTGAATTGGCATCTTCAGTAGAAGGCCATCGGGGACTGAAGCCCTAAGCCTAATTTCTGGGTCCTTGTTGGATGCAATTTTACATTCTTTAATATCATAGAACCCAATAGGGACTAAAAATGACCATGTTTAATTCATCCTCAGCAGGGAACCTAATTTCTTATTCTGTGAACCCAAAACCCCCCCNNCCCCCCCCCCCCCCCCAAGCCCTAGCGGGATCTGGAAACCATAGAAGCTCACCATTGCGGTTCAGGGTTTAGGGTCCAAAAGGGGCCTAAGTGGGGATACTCACCCAAACCATACCATAACAATTCCTTACTCTAAACCCTAAACCCT